GGGGATAGCAAAGGTGGGGTTTGAGAATCAGCTCGCGTAGCTGATTTTCTTGGCGCCTCCCAGCGCCGGAGGCGCCTATGTATCGAGGAATGGGCCCCTCGGTGGGGCCGAAACCAGCTGCACGCAGCAGATTTCGTAACCCCCCCTTTCCCAATCCCCCCCTTTCGTCCGGCCCGAGCCCTAGGGGACTCCTGGGGTTTCCCAGGGCGTCCTGGGGCGTCCTGGGACCTCCTGGCGCGCACTGGGGCCTCCTGGGGCGCCCCGGGAGGCCTCCTCGGGGCTCCCCGGGTCCTCCCGGAGCCTCCTGGGCTCTCTGGTGGCTCTCTGGGGACGCGTGGGGTCGCCCGGGGCCTCCTCTCCTGGGGCTCCTGCCTCGGGAAGTCCTCCCGAAGCCACCCACCAGCGCCACCCCCGACGGAATCCGCTCCAGGGTGCGGTCCCCCCCGCTGCAGGTGCGGCGCGGCGTCCCCTGAGCAGCCCGGCGGCTCTCTGAGAAGCCGCGCGCGGGGCCTGCAGAGAGCGACGACGGCTTCGAGGATGGAAAGCCTGCCCCTCGAGAAGGAGTGCCCCTCGAGAAGCCGCACTCAAGGCCCAGATGAAGGGGCCCCAGGCCGCACAAATAAATACACACAAATAAAAAGATTCCCCATATTTTCCCATATTTTCTGGGTTTCTGTCTTCCCCCCACTTTCCATATTTTCCCATATTTTCTGGGGAATCGACGATTAATTGTGTCTCTGTGTTTCTTTCCCTCCTGACCAGAACCGTCCCAGGCATCCCGCGGCCCGAATCCCAGTCCTGCGCTGTGCCGTGCGATTTGCCATCTCCCCGCCGTGCCGCCGGACCCCGGAGGTGTTTTTGTCTCGTTTTCGCTGGTAAGGAACATTTCCCCCCCACCCTCTCGGCGGTGACGGAGGAAGGGCGGCGGGGGTGGGCGGGTTGGCGGGGTGACGGGGAGGCTGGTTGGGCTGGTTGGCTAACGGGTTGGCTGGGTAACGGGGTGGCTGGTTGGGCTGGGGCTGGAAGGCGGGGTGGCTGGGTGGGCTGGCTGGCTCATTCGATGGGTTGGATTGGCAGGTTGAGCTGGCTAGGGCCATTGGCCTCGACTACTCATCCTCCCCCCCTCCCCTCCTCCGCCTCCCCCTCCTCCTGCTCATCCTCATAATGATCATCGTACTCATCATCATGATGATCACCAACATCATTACCATCAGCATCGTGATACTCGTCATCATAATCATCATAATCATCATCATCAGCATCATCATCATCATCATCATCATCATCAGCAGCAGCAGCAGCAGCAGAAGCATCATCATCATCAGCATCATCATCATCAGCATCATCATCATCATCATCATCATCATCATCATCATCATCATCATCATCATCATCATCACCATCACCATCATCATCATCATCTTCATCATCATCATCATCATCATCATCATCATCATCATCGTCATCATCATCATCATCATCATAATCCGCATTGTCGTCATAATCAGCATCCTCATCCGCATCCTCGTCCTCGTCCTCCTCATCCTCCTCATGATCATAATTGTCATTATCATCAATATCATCATCTCCACCACCATCACCACCTTCATCATCATCATCATCATCATCATCAGCAGCAGCATCATCATCATAATCATCAGTATCATCATCAGCATCATCATTATATTCAGCATCATCATGTCATAACCATAGTCGTAACCAGAAGCATCATCATCAGCAGCATCAACATCCTCATTATAACCATCATCATCATCATCAGCAGCAGCATCATTATTACAGTCATAGTCCACATAACATATTAATCATCATCCTCATGTTCATCCGCATGCTCAACATCATCATCATTATCATCAGCAGCATCGTCATCATCATCATCATCAGAATCATCAGCATCATAATCATCATCATCATCATCATCATCATCATCATCAGCACCATCATCATCCTCAACATCATCATCATCATCATCATCATCATCATCATCATCATCATCCTCACCCTCATCCTCATCTTCCTCATCCTAATCCTCATCATCCACATCATCATCAACAGTATCATCATCATCCTCATCCTCGTCCTCATCTTCCTCATCGTAATCCTCATCATCCACATCATCATCAACAGCATCATCATCATTATCGTCGTCATTATCATCATCAGCATTATCATCCTCAAACTCATCCTCATCCTCCTCATCCTCATCATATTCAGCATCATCGTCATCGTCAACATTAGTGTTATTATGATTGTCATCGTCGCCGTTGTGATCGTCGTCGTCGACATCGTCGTCATCGTCATTGGCATAACTACCTTCATCATCATCATCATCAGCATGATCATCATAATCCTCATCATCCTCATCAGAACCATCATCATCAGCAGCAGCCGCATCACCATTGTCATGATCATCCACATAATATCCTCATCATCATCATCATCATGGTCATCCCCATGCTCAACCTCATCATCATCATCAGCAGCATCATCGTCATTATCATCATCGTCATCAGCATCATGCTCCTCATCATCATCATCAGCAGCATCATCAAGATCATTGCCATCATTATCATCCTCATCATCATCATCATCCTCATCCTCATCCTCATCATGCACATCATTATAAACATCCTCATTATCATCCTCATCCTCATCCTCCTCATCCTCATCATATTCAGCATCATCATCGTCAATATTAGTATTAGTATGATTGTCATCGTCGCCGTTGTGATTGTCGTCGTCGACATCGTCGTCATCGTCATTGGCATTACTATCTTCATAGTAATCATCATCATCAGCATCATCATCATCATCGTCCTCGTCCTCGTCCTCGTCCTCGTCCTCGACTTCATCCTCTGACTCATCCTCCCTGTTCGTCCGACTCCCTCCCTCCCTCCTCCCTCCCCCCTCCGTCCCTCCTCCCTCCCTTCCTCCCTCCCTCCTCCCTCCACCATTACCCGTCCTCTACCCTCCTCCTCATCCTCCGCATACCTTTTCCCAATCCTCCTCATTCTCATACCTCCCCCTCCTTCTCCTCATCATCATCATCATCCTTCATCCGCTTTCCTCCTCCTCCTCCCTCCTCCATCCCTTTTCCTCATAGATAACTCCTCCCTGTTGCACGCCGAAACCTGTCAGTAGGGCGGGCCGGGCGTTTAGCCTAAGACCCCTTCACAATGCATGGTCCTTAAGTTGAACGTTTGCAGCAGTTGCACGGATGGAGGGCGAGCCGTTTTAAAAATTTGGCTCTCGCCTTAGCGCCGCGCCCACTCCTTTATAATGTTGCAGAAACTTCACGGATATTTCAAATGCAAGTCTCGCCTTAGCGCAGCGCACATTCGCCTTCACAGTATGCAAGAGCTTCACGGATGGAGGGCCTTTTCAAACGGTACCTCTCGCCTTAGCGCCGCGCGCACTCGTCTTAACAACTCACAGCTGTTTCAAGGATTCTTATGGCTGCCGTCCCAGGAATGGTGTTCTGGCCCGATGTAGGACTGTCATAACGCAGTAGTTACGCCGATTCGCGGTGTCGAAGTCACAGGAAAAGCGTCCTGGCACGATTCAGGATCGCCAGGACGAAGAAGTAACGCTGGTTCGCGGCTTTGAAATCCCAAGAACGGTGTTCTGGAACGGCTCAATGATTTTGAGACGATTGTCTTCCAACGGGGCACTTCCCTCAGTGGACATGAACCCTTGTAGGGTCCTATGAAGGGAATGTTTCTTGCAACGTCACTGATGGCTCTTGGGTTTACACTGCTGCTCCTCCTCCTCCTCCTCCTGCTCCTCTTCCTCCTTCTCCTCCCTCACATCCTCCTCCTCCTCCTCCTCCTCCTGTTCCTTCCTCTCCGTCTCCCTGCTCCCTTCTCCTCCTCCTCCCTCCCCCTCTTCTCCTCATCCCTCCTCCTCACCCCTCCTCGCTGTTCCTCCCTCCCCCTCCCCTGGCAACAACGACGCCAAAAAGCTGCGAGGTCCTGCTGGAGACGGACAGCGCCCGCCCGGCGAGGAGGGCCAGGGCAGCCGAGGCGCCGACGAAGGAGGCCAGGCCTCGCGCGCGGGGGGAGGCCGTCCACCGGGCACCCTCCAAAGTGTAGCCAGGCAGCCTCCCATGCAGTCAGGCGGGTGCGTGGCCACACCACGCAGGGGGGACAGGAGGCACCAGGGAGGAAGGGGGATGAGAAGGAGCAGGAGCAGAAGCAGGAGCAGGAGCAGAGGCAGGAGGATCATGGAGGATCAGGAGGTGCGTGGATCGAGGTTCGAGGCTCGAAGGTCTAAGTTTCGAGAATTATGCTTGGCCTCCAGAAGCAACCAAGGACCTCCTGAGACTGGACGGATCGCGAAAGAGACGAGGACGAGGAGGACCAGTATAAACCCAAGACCTATCAACTACTTTGCAAGAAGCACTCCCTCCAAATTCCCCCTTCATGAGTCACGACAATGATTCATGTCCAAAGAAAAAATGCCCCGTTGGAAGATCATCGCTTGAAAATCATGACCGAGCCAGAGCACTATTCCATCGCGAATAAACGTTACTGTTGCGGACTGACAACCCTACGTCGTGGCAAAACACCTTTCCTGGAACGCCATGCATAGGAAACCTCGAAGCTGTTGGAACGCGAAAGAATATCTGCGCGGCGCTAAAGCGGGAGCCACATTTTGAAAAGGTACCGCCCTCCATCCGCGAAACTCTTGCGAACTTTGAAGACGAATGTGCGCGGCGCCAAGGCGAGAGAGGACATTTTGAAGTGCGACAAGAAGGAATGAATTATAAAAGAAAAGGGATGAAGGAGGAGTTTCGGACAGGAGGGGTTTCGGGGACGATGGGGAGGAGGCGGTCGGGGGGGGAAGTGTTCTGAGGTTTTGTGATGGCGTGGGGGTTAGAGGGGTCACCTATCCCCAAGAAGTGCCCCCCTCTGTGACTGCATGGGAGACACCGCACCTGCCTGGCCCAGGGAGGTCCATCCAGGGGATCCTGCCGATCCGAA